AATAGAATTAAAGTACAAATTTATTTCAGTGAAAAAAAAAATTTGACACCCATGTGGAGTTTTTCATAATATACATTTCCATTCACTTTTGAAGACCTGTCATATATAGCATTAATTATAATTTCTCTTTTAAATGTCTCACTCTTCCTTTATAGTGTATTGAAAGGTCAATTTTAATAGAAAAATAGATTGACTCTGTTTCTGTTAAATTTATGTAGGCCTGTTCAAATCACTGTAAAGTCTCCCATAAGCATTATGAAATAATTCTTTTTTATAATTTACATTTCAAAAATAAAATTTAATTCATTGTCACTTTGAGGAACTTGTAGAGCATGAGAAAGTTGATAAATATTTTTAAATTGTGAATAATATTTACAGTGAAACAGAATAATGTAACTTGTAATCAAAATGTTATTAAGACAAGCACATAAAAATGATAAAAGAGCCGTTGTTTTTCAAATGACGCACACTCTTGTAACTTGTTATCTTTTGGTTACTGAGTAAGTTATCATTAAAGAGCATTAGCAACTTACAGGAGCTCAATTATTCCTCCAGGACATATGTGGATTAGATAAAATACCTCAGTTCCTCATGAAAAGACAGGAAAACTGAAGATCCTACTGGGCCCTCATTAAATGTCTTGCTAGTATTTCAAAGATTTGGGGAAAATTCTCAGGAGATAACAGACTCTGCCTGAGGGGAAAGAAGTGGGGAATTAGAACACATGGTATATTTTCCATTGCAAATAAGACCAGAAGATATGTTTTATTGGCTGAGCAAGGTGACATCTTTCCACTGGATGTGTCTGATGCATTCTTCCCCTCCAAAGGCGGGGGAAGAGTCAAGTAGCAAGTGGGTAAGAAACAGATGGGCAGGTATGAGGAAGAAGCCCAAATGTTTAGGGTGAGGTAAACATAAGCAAAGAAAAGGTACACATGGTGTTTGTAAAAAGCAAGTAGCAAGCAGAGTGTGACAAGGTCTTTGTGATGACATACCATTGACTCTTCTCATAATGTAACAGCCATGCAAACCATCTTTTCTGAGCCCCAGCAGAGTGCCAGGGACTCTGCTATGTGCTTTTCCATGCCTTACTTAAACCTCGACAACTGTCCATGACCATAGAAGCTGAGTTTTGCTGGTTCTTGCTCTTACCTACAAATGCAAGACATCATCTCTTCAAAGCTCCCTCTTTCCCCCACAGTACTTCTATGAGTCCCTAGAGGGGACCTCACATGCATTCACAGAGAAGTTCAGCCAGTGCCATCTTTGCTGGGCACCATTATGTCTACTATGCATGCTCTGCTGCAGATTGCTGGCAGTAGTACTGCTTCCCTGTGCTTTGATGGACATCATCATTGTCCTCACTGGTACTCCTAATAGATGCCATCTGCTGAACAGCATGATCAATTTTATTCACTACTGGTGATGATGCCTTGAAGGTCTCAAAGTTGCATAGTATCCTGCAAAGAAGTGAGAGAGAATGTACCTGCCCTTCACTGATGGGGGTACCAATGTATTACAGTATTTTTTTTTAATTGTCAGAGGACACAGGCATTCATGTGCATGAGAGAGAGAGAGAGAAAGAGAGAGAGAGAATGAGCAAGCATTTTCCCTTGGGTCATGATCATGCTACAATCCCTTTTCTTCCAGCTCCCTTTCCCGTCGGGATTTTGGGCACATAAACACAGGTGCCCAGCATGTTTTTTAAGCTTCCAGGAATGGGATTTGAGCTGCCATTGGCCATGTGAGAGCCAAGTCCCTCTACACAGCAGTTAACAACTATGCTATGGGGCAGGCTCCTGTAATAGAGATTTTTTATGTGGATTTTCCCAACAATTAAGATAGCATGTGGTTTCCAGTAGCAGGGACTGGGAAAGGGGTAGCAGGCCTGCTGTCCAGCGGTAAGGATAGCAAAAAACCTGTGAAACAGCCCAAGAAGCAGATCAAGGAGAAGGATAAGGAAGGTAAAACTTTCAAGCAGAAATAAAAAGAAGAGAGGAGAAATTCACAGGGTTGAAAGTGAAGGCCATGGAGGGCTGCCCCCTCCCTGACAAGTCAGGCAAGAGGTAAGCTGTTCTTTGTGCCTGAAGAGATAGTGGCCCTTGATTGTTTTCCTATTTAAACATCTGAATTCCCTGCCAGAATATCTTTTGTCACCCATAGGTAGAATGAAGTGTTGCCTTAGAGCCTCTTGTTGTACATTTAAGAATAAACTTTTGTAAAAGTAATAAGTAAATTTTTAAAAATAAAATACGATGTGGCCAAAGTATATCTGCCTGTAACATCTGGGCCATATCATGATGATCCCTGAGTATTAAGATAAAGAGATTGAACTTCCAC